ACCCGTCGAGGAACTCGATCTACGTCGGTGCAAAAAGGATCCATCTAAATGCCCACGTTGGTTTTCACGTCGACAGCCGTGTCGAATTATATCACCCATTGTACCAAATGGGCACCTCCATATGCCCTTTCCTGGTCCCATTTGATTACCCCAATTTGAAACTTCGTTGAAAAATTCTCAAATTTCTAAAATCTCAGGACAATTCTTAGGTGACCAGTCGTATAAGTTTCGGACAGTTCGATCCAGTATCCATAGAGAAAAAAAAAAAAAAATTGTCTCATTAGATTAGGCCCATATGAGAGGGGGTTTCACTCCACCTTAATAAAAGTGGGAGAGAAATGGACCCTTCTTCGCGTGGTCGCGCCTCGAGTTCAAGTTCGATCTCGATTCGAGCTAAACTCGAAATTCCTCGGTTTGCCGATATCGCGTTGGATAGCGGCCCCGTGAGGGGGAGGGCGGGAGGCGCGCGGTGGGGGACGGCGGCGTCGGCCGCCGGTGGGAGGCGGTCGGCGGGGGGAGTCAAGTTTAAGGCCACGAGACGTCGGTGACGTCACTCGAGGCGGTCGCCCCTAACCTTGGCCAATACGTAACCGCCGGCCCCGAAAATTCTCATCTCCCGAAGGCGCCTCTCCTGATATCGAGCGCGCATTCGCCTCCGCCGAAATTCCCCTCCGAGACGGGAGGGGCGGGACCGCCGCGACGCTTATCGTCCCCGGGAATCGCCTTATCGTCCTCCGCGCCCGATTACGCGGTTACGAAAGACGCGCCAAACCGAGGCGGTTATTTCTTACGCGATAGGAGGGTATCTATCAAGTTCGAGGACGACCGGGTTCGCCTTCATTGAAGTCGTTCTATCTCTCTCTATCTCGACTTACTCTTTACAACGTACAGGTGTCGGTAACCGTACACGTGGTTTTGGGTAATCGCGGAGGGATAAGTGTCCGGACTGGGGACGTTTACCTTTTTTGAGGGAAATTCAATACGGCGTGGAAATAAATCTTGCACAATGTTGTGTATATAACTACTATGCATGTATATACATATGTATGTGAGAAGTTAGTATCACCCCTTTCTGTTATACCGCATTTACGTAAGATGTACTTATTGTCCTGAAAACGCGAAATGCAGCCTCGGGCGACCTGGTCTTTCTGAGATGCGAGTTGAGAAATTAATCGTACGAAAAGCCGAAAAAAAAATTCATAATCCGCGGTTGAGCCTCCATTTTCCTATAACTCGTCCGCTGGAGGACAAGGAGGCACCTACGGCTCTCTCTTTATCCGGAATTCCGTCGAGCGGGAGAAGAGCCTCTCTCTTCTCATCAAGGTCGGAGATCTGCATCTCGAGTTCCCGGCCGAAATAATTCCCAGCACGTCGGCACCATTCCGGGGGGGGATGCAAAACTGCGGGAAGGGTTGCCTAAAAATTCATCGGCTCGGCCCCTTTCATCTCCCTTATATCATTGTCCGCATTTCGTTCGCAGAATCCCCCGAAAGAGAAGAAAGAGAAAAAATGGGCAACTCCCGGAGGGTTATCTCCGCGTACTCTTACCGGGGTAATCGACGATCCCTATTATCGCTACGTGTTTTCACCTCGGCTATCGGGTGAGGTTGTTGCTCGATAAATGCACGGATTTAACCGGATAAATATAAGCCGGATGCTGCGGACCGGACTTGCGTAGGAGTGCATCGGACTGTCTTCTGACTTTGCGACCCCCTTAACCCCCTGCAACGTGCCTTGCAGTTCAATGCAACGTGTATTCATTTTTTTTTTCATTTTTCCCTCGATGTCCTTCGTAGTCTTATATACTTTAAAGAAGCAAATCATTTGATAACATCAAACATAGTCAATCGAGGAATATGTTCGAATGAAATATATACTTCCCCGACTGTATAAGAAATAAGAAGGAACGAGTTTCCTTGAAAGATATTTTCGCTTTCGTGCAAATCGTTTTCTCGGGGGGGCCTTGAACGAGGTGGAGCTGAAAGACATTTCCGCCGAGGATTTGTTTAGGTGACGCCTCGTAGATATCCCGAGATATAGGGCCTTTTGTCTCGGAGATCCGCGATAAAGTTTCCCTCCTCGATCGGCCCCCGGATTCGGATTGGCCGCCCCGGGAGGAGAGATGATAAGGGGTGGAACGCGTGCTTACACCTTGTTTCATCTACGCAGAATCCTCGCATCGATTCGGGCCGGCTCTCCGGCGAGATTGCTCGCGGTCTAGACGGTCGAAAAGAAATAAACCGATGGGAATTCCTGTTAAAAGTAAAACCCCGGGACGACGTAACGATCGGCTCGCCGATTAGGGCGGGCGGCGGGACAGGGGGCAAGAAGTCCCAAAGCCATCGCTAGATATAGAAGCGAAAAAGTGCGCCACGACGTAATATATNTATATATATATAAACTGTTTTCGGCTTACGTGGGCCGAGGCTCGTATTGGGGGCTGGCTTTGATAGGCGGCTCGCGGAGATTTCCGCGACGCGGCCGTGAAAACGCCGCCGAAGGCCGACCGGAATGAAATCCTCGGACGGTATCGCGCCTGGCAACAGATAACGGACCAGTTGTTGGGCGAGGTTAGGTACCGCCGCAAATTTCGTGCCTTGGCGCGTCGCTTTATTTCCCGAGACACCTCTCACACCCGTGGCGGAATTTTATTTTTTTTTTTAATTTTCTCTTCGCTTTTTCCCCCTTCGCCCTCCTGAGATCCGTCATTAGACAATGCCCGATTGGGAGGAAAGTCATTGCCGCTCTCGAGGACTCTGGATTTCCTCCAGGTCCTGCGACCACGTTAAGGGGGTGTTAAAGCGGCGCCAAGGAGTTCTCCTTCGCGAAGCTTATCTCCGATAAGAGAGATATCGCGAATCATTCGAACGTTCATCTCGAAGCGATGTATTGTTTGGGGGGAGGGGGGCAGATTATCGCTAAATTTCATATAAACGGGAGGCGATGCATCTCTCGGAGGGGAGGTGTAAAAAGGAGGTGCATTTTACGGATTCGAAGCCGCCTCGACGCGGGGCTTGGAGCCAAGGTCGGCGTGGACGCTCGTCGTCGGGCGTCGGTATCTCGGTCGTTTCCGTGGACGCTCGGCGTCTAAAATTGCGACGGCGCGTCGCGGCGCGGCCTTCGCGGTCGCGGCTGTTCGGCCCCTAGAAAAGTCAAGTTCAAGGCCACGCGCCTCCCCCTGGGAGGGGGAGGTGGGATTACGCAACCCTTTCGCTCTTACTTGCCCCCGGGTGGTACCTTCGGGGGTGCGAGGCCAGGGTCGAGGGTCCTCGATTATCCCCCGTGCGGAACAATGGAAATTTATCGGCGCATCGTCCCCGCGGAAATTCCGAAATTCGTAGATCCGATCTAGAGCGACTCTCGTTAGCTTTCTCGATAGGGCCTAATCGAGATGGTGATTTCTTTTGAAAATTTCATATAAAAGATTGTATTTGGATTTTAATTATCCGCCCAGCGGAACAATGGAAATTTATCGGCGCATCGTCCCCGCGGAAATTCCGAAATTCGGAGATCCTATCTAGAGCGACTCTCGTTAGCTTCCTCGATAGGGCCTAATCGAAATGATGATTTCTTTTGATAATTTCATATAAAAAGATTGTATTTGCACGTAACGTATTTGGCGTAACTACGAGGTTGCTCGCGTACGGGCCATTAATGCGCCTCGGTGTTCGTACACGCGGCGCGGTCCTTGGAGGCGAATCCATAGCTATGAATTATGTAACAATCGAAGCATTCCTTATCCCCATTCATGCGACGTCGTGGATTCGCGTGGCGTCCGCGCACGCGCACGCGCGCGGGCCCACTGGTCCCCCGCCGCGTCCCGCGCGACTCCTCGCCGTACGGCGCACGCGCACGAGTCCCGACCGCACGCGCCGGTCGCGCTTACGGAAGACACCGCCGGAAACCGGAAGCGACGCTTCCCTCCGATTCCCCTCTACGAGACCACCTCCTGGGAATTTGCTTAAAATTGGGAATATCCCGGAAAGAAATAAGGAAGCGCTTTTTCAAGATTTCTCGTTGTAAAACAGTTTAAATCACTTAATTTCCCTTTTTTTTTTTATAGCACGGTGCCCATTCTTTAGTATTTTATTTTGGAATCGTATTAATATTAATGTCGCGTTATTTGCGCAACCCCATAGGTGGGATTGTTTAAATTCTTGGGGGAAGAGTTTGAAGTCTTGATTAAGGACGTCTCGATAAGGATATAGGGTCATTAATTACCCAAAGATTAATGTATGAAAGATATATTGAATGTCATATGGTGGTGGTGTATGAATTAAAAATGGCCCTTAGATGTTTTAGAAGGCGGACGCGAGCGAGATATCATCAGACGGGGGCCGTATTTCGAGTCTCGCTTTAAAAAGCTCCCGCGTTTCCGGAGGAGAAGGCGTTAAAAACTAGAAATATATGTCTTCCGTTTAGTGGCCCGACCGCTTACAGAATTCGCGGGTTTATTAATAAGTCCGTCTCGGCTCGGCGAAGTTCAAGTTCCTATATAACTTAACACCTACGGATTTAGGGGCGGACTTTTATTTTCCTCCCAGAGCCATCGGATCGAGTTAAAGGACCAAGAGGGAAGAGAGAGAGAAAGAGAGACGGAGAGAGGACCGAGAGGCGCGAGAACGTCGTGCGTTTCTCGCTTTCCCTTTTTTACCTTTTTCCCCCCTCTCTCTCTCGATCTTTCTCTCTTCTCGTTTTTTCCGCGACGCGGAACGCCTCGCGGGACGCGGCGTATATCCTCGGGATTCCTTGAAGGCAATTCTAAAAATGTTAGCGCTAGTCGGGCGTTAAAAATAGTCCCCGCAAAAAAGTGCAGTCGTGCCTCCGTCGGGGCGCTGCTTCCTCCGGCTCTCTTCCTCTCGTATCTTTTTGTCGTTTTCCTCCTTCCGCGACCTTTTTCTTCGTTTTCTTCTTTTCTTTTTCTTTTCCCCCGTCGACTTTCTCGTCTGGCCAGACGGACTGGTCTGCCGCGGGAGTCTAATCGAGCTTTTGGTTTCCAGGTTTGCACGATGTCCGGCACCGCAGTTGAGAGTATGATCGGGAACAACAGAGCGATGCCGAACATCAAGCAGGAAATCGAGAACCCCACTACGCCCACGCAGAATTATCACCAGGTTTGCTCGCCCACCACGACGCTGCATCATCAAGAAGTAAGGACGGACAGCGTGCAGGAGGAGAGTCCGAAAAGAATGAAAGACTTGGGACACCTCGAGCAGGTTGTTTCCGAGGGCGGTCGAATCTAGGAGACACATCGAGACTGTTAACCCTCTCGAGGCTATCGTTGACTATAGACATCCGGCGTAATCTAAGCCATTAAATGTAACCTAACGTTTCAGGTGATTTGCGGAGAAATGGACATGCAGGACTACGGGGGCGGGGGCGGCAGCCCCGGGAGCCCGGAGATGCATCACTGTTCCTCCACCACGCAGCCTCTCGGGAAGTCCGAAGTACAGAATAGACTGATAAGAGCCCGACGATGCGGCGAGATTTATCAAGGGAGCGCTCTCTCCGATGGTCGACCGAGATCTAAAGCGTTGCTCCGTTTTCAGGAAAACATCAAGGAGGAGGACATGATGCCGAGGAGATTGTGCCTGGTGTGCGGAGACGTAGCGAGCGGTTTCCACTACGGGGTGGCGTCTTGCGAGGCCTGCAAAGCCTTCTTCAAGAGGACGATACAAGGTAGGTCCTCGTTCCTCCTTCTCCTGGAATACCGTGTCTTCGTTAGGAGTCAAGGATAGCACCGTGCACGTAGCGGTAGATCCCGAGTCCAGGTTAGAATGCGAGTAACGCGTCGTCGGGTGCCGGTGGTATCTGCGGAAGGACTGGGAATATTATGATAAAATAGCGAGCAATTTCACAGGTAACATCGAGTACACCTGCCCGGCCAACGGGGAGTGCGAGATCAACAAGAGGCGGAGGAAAGCCTGCCAGGCGTGCAGGTTTCAAAAGTGCCTGAGACAAGGGATGCTGAAGGAAGGAGTCAGGCTGGACCGCGTCCGAGGTGGTAGGCAAAAGTACCGGAGATCGACGGATCCCTACATGCCCGGGAAGACCGTCACCCTGGAAGGTAATTTCAGCCAGGACCTTTGCGGGGCGAGGAGGATTCCTTCGTCCTTGATTTCGCCGTCAGCTGCCTCCGGAGCTCGGGGTTTATAAGTACTCGTTACATACTCCAGCACGTATCTCTAGCTCTGTACATTAGTTGTCAATGTTTCTCACTTAACTGCGATAAAAACCGGACACGGCGGCGAAAGTAAGTGTGGTCGATAGCGTGAATAACTTCGACTTTTCTTGTTTTGATGTTTCAAGCTAACGTAGGATCGGCAGGGTCCGCGGAAGCAATAAGTAAGTTGATCAGCATTCGTAAAAGCAGTCTTTTCGTGCCGAGGAGTGTTCATTGCGAGAGGGCTAATTTAGGCTGTACGTCTCAATTGTCCATTTGTTTGTCCATTGTTTGTGCGCATCCTTCGTTCGTTATCCCTCTTGCCCCTTAAAGACCCAACCTCTCGCAGGTGTTTGGCTATAGCGTCGATTAGTATCTCGTGTGCACGTTGGCGGCGCTCCGGGATGGAAAGTTATCGCGTTGGGATTTTCTCATTTTAGACAACAAGATGGTGGAGGCTCTCATAGCTTGCGAGCCCGACGCTCTGCAAGTCTCCAACCTGTCTCACACCCTGGACACCGACCAGCGAGTGCTGGGACAGTTGTCCGACCTCTACGATCGCGAGCTCGTCGGAATAATTGGTAATTACTAGTAACCGGCACCCGCGCAAAAGGAAAATCATCGGCGCTCGTTAATGCAGTAGCGACGATAATTCACTCCTGCTTTGCATGCAGCAGCGTGCGATCATTCGCGAGCGACTGCATCCGAAAACAGAGACATATGCCTCTTCTGTCGCTTGTAATTACCTTCCAATTAGCTTCTAATCCCACGTTCCGTTCCCTCTGGAAAGGTTGGGCAAAGCAGATCCCAGGGTTCATCAGTTTAGCCTTGAACGACCAGATGCGCCTTCTTCAGAGCACGTGGGCGGAAATTCTCACCTTCAGTCTGGCCTGGAGAAGCATGCCCAACTGCGGAAGGCTCAGGTTCGCCCAGGACTTCACCCTGGACGAGAGGCTTGCGAGAGAGTGTCACTGCTCCGAGCTCTATTCCCACGTGAGAACATCCGCCAGTTTCCGCCTGTGCAGACCCGGGCTATATTTCATTCATGCGCTGCCGGGCGATGAGGTTCAACGTGTTACTGGGCTATTAAAAGTCACGCTAGCTGGTGAACATCCGTTGCGGCTACACGATTCCTTGGGACGTAGCCCTGTTCTCGGATCATTCATGTTATTACGACTATATAAATGCGCGCGCCTTAAAAATAGCCCCGGGGCTCGATTCTCTTGATATTCTCTAACGCTAGCTGCGCAAACTACGTCCTCGTGTAGGAGTACGGCGAGTACCTGACTTTAAATTGTTTTAAGCAGAAGATTCATTGCCCGCAGCGCGTAAAGGTCAGTTCACCCGAGGTGAATGCTATCGTATTAATTCCGTGCTAATGTTCTTGATATTCGTTCTCAAAATTGGAACCCTATGCCCTCATTGTATAGGGTGAACTGTCCACAGAGAATGATTAATTAGTTAAGACGATATCGTTGGAGGGATCCGTGCATGTACGTATTCTCTTTGTCAACAGTGCATACAAATCGTGGAGAGGGTCCAGCGACTGGGCCTCTCCAGAGAGGAGTTCTTTGTGCTGAAGGCGTTGATCCTGACGAACAGCGACGTCAGGCTGGACGAGCCGCAAGCTCTGTACCGCTTTAGAGACTCGATATTGAACTCTTTGTCGGACTGCGTTGCCGCGATTCGACCTGGCCAGGCTTTAAGAGCCACTCAAAATATGTTCCTAGTGCTGCCGAGCCTGAGGCAGGCCGACGGAGTTGTCAGAAGATTCTGGTCTAGCGTCTACCGAACCGGCAAGGTGCCTATGAACAAGCTCTTCGTCGAGATGCTGGAGGCTGCCATCTACCGATGAGGGCTCTCAGGAATCGGTGGAGTCGAGACCGAGGCTCCTAAAACAATCCGCTAGGTGATTCCTAAACCGAGGATGGACCTAATTCACGCTGCTCCAGAGTCCGCGTACAGCTTACAAGCTCGACCAACGAAAAGAACGATCGAGCTTGCCAAGCTGGCCCTCTGGGTGCGAGAAGAAACTGATCCGAACACCTGCGTGAGCCAGTGAAACGATGTTACTTTCCCATTGGAAACCGAATGTCTAGGAATTTCTTTTGTCATTTAAATTAACCAGTATGAAGCTCGAAATGGCCCGATGAAGTCGCTAGCCAAACCTCTTTGGTAACAATTTTCCTTTGCCGTTTTCCGATAGGGAACTGTCCTGTTTGTTCGGAACATCGGCGCTTTTCTACCGATTCGGATGCACATAGTTTTCAGTTCGTCATGTATACGATTTATATATATAAATTTAATTTTTATGAAGGTTGTACGGGATAGGTACCTCCGAGCAATCGTCACCCTTAAGAATTTGTTGCGCTGCGTGTTTTTAAGTTGGAGGAGTGTGTGCATCCGTAGGGGCAGAAAAGTTGGCCGCGTTTATGATTAGGATTGGCAGGATGCGTCCGGAAAAGGACATCTTCGCACTTGGCCTGAATCGATAACCGAGATGTCTTTCGTTGAAAAAGTCAAAAGTTTATATTTTTAAGTACCCTTTTTACAGGTACGAGACGATACGTTGTTTTAGAGGCGAGGCATGTTTGGGGAGAAAAGTCGAGTGCGCGACTCCATTGTCCTTGTACGAATTCGTACGGGCTTTTTGTGTGTCTCGCTCGACACGGAATCAGGGCTCCACCGAATCGCGTTCAATTATTTTTTTCAAAGACGATCGGTTAAGTTGTCGCTAGGGTCGGTTTATCAAAATTGATGGAAGAGAACTAGACCACTTGGCGAAGAGTCCTGAAGTCCCGTAGTGATTCTGTACAAAGAGGAAACCAGTGAGATACCTTGTGAGCGATGAGCCGAGTAGTTCCTTAGTTGCCGAGACGGTAAAAAGAAGTGGAACGCGAAACCGAGACTTAATCTGTGGAACCTTGGAACCGTGGATCGTTAGAACCTCCTCATTTTTCTTCAAACAAACCGTACTTTGGAGGAATGCTGTACATCACAACATTTGGCATCACATTTTAATTGAACTCACGCCACCGGAATAGTTTAACATTGATTTAACGTCGGTACCTTAGGATGGTTTTTCATTTTTTTTTCCCCCGTTTAACGCGTTCGGCAATCTTGGATTTATGTTTTTCTTTTATTTACGTCGCGGATGCAAATGGAAATGTTTAGTTAAATTAGGACTCGCGTATGCACGTAGCGATCGATAAATCGGAAAGATGTCTTATTTGATTTTATTTAATTTCTTTTTCTTTTTATTCGACGAATAGTATCCGATTACGAGACAGCATTCTTCCACTGTGCGTTTTTTATTGTTACCAGGTGGGGTTCCTCGGTAGATCGGCCCAGTCCTTAGATCGCGATCGGAGGAATATTCTGGTGGAGTCGGCGAGGAGGGAACAGGCGATATTTTCTATTCTCCACTTTGTACACACAAAAGGCAACGAAATGGAAAATGCGAGGGGGGAAGCGTTTCGCGAAAGAATCGGCGATATTTTTTAGTTTCGATCAATCCTTTCCATCATGCCAGGCGATTCCTCGTGCGATCGGGCTCGATCGCCAGAAAAGAGGAGACGCACTTTATATAGTTTACCGGATTCCCATGTGATCGTGGAACGTCATTCGCACGTGCCACAAAGGAACGTAGGAGAAAATATATTCAGGGATCTTTATTATCTAGATATTATACTGTTAACGACGACCGGTGCGCGAGTCGTCCGCATAATATCGTCTCTTACGTGGCCGAAAAAGCCGGTCGCATCTATCGAACCATACGATTATTAATAATTAACGGAGCGTGGAATGAGACGACAGCAGGAAATTCTAAAAGAGGGCGTACACGGAGCTGGGCGAAGTACCGCTTGGGAAGGGTATTTCTTTTTCTTAACGCCTAGCTAGGGAGGGTATCGATATCGCATTGTTATCCCCATCTCTGAGTTCATCGGCGCGTCCGCCTCCTCGAGCTCGGTGGTTTATTAATAATTATTAAACATTAATCCCCATAGGGGGGACCGCGGCATTTTAGTGCAATACGCCAGGGGCTTGTCGATGGTACCCGCTCGACTATCGCAAACGCAATATTTTGATACACGCAAGATGAATTTGTTTTAAAATTAAGTAGACTACTCGTCGGCTAGTTGCGCCCTTTAGTTCTTATTGGAAGAAGGAAAGAAAAAAATGTGATTTCGCCGCGGAAGGTAGTTGCCCCCAGCCCAGGGTAACTCAATGTACCAGTTGTTCACCTCGCCCCGGTAATCGGAAAAGCTTGGCGCTGTCGGCAGAAAGCAGAGTTTGTGATAATGGTATCTTCGATTCGTGATCACTCGCCATGTTGATAGGCGTATCGCGTTCAAGCGCGCGGCCCGATGAGCGAATTAAATTAATTTCAACTGAATTGATATTCAGCACCGCGCAGCTCCCGAGGCATCTTTTTGTAACCCCATCAACGGAACGTTCATTTTCTTTGACATTACATTTAATCGCGCTTGAAGTCTGGATTTATGTCAATGGTAACCTCAGATTCCCTTTGCACCCCTGTTATCGCGTACCTGGTGAAAGCGTTTCTTTTCATCCCCGGAAATCTCGTTTCGTCCTTTCCCTGCATTTAGCCTCGCGCGCGCGAACAGCTGATCGCCACAACCCGCCGAGTTCGTTTTCGGCCGAGACAAGGTCGCGCCATTACCTCGTTAGGCAATCTCATTAACGGCGGTCCGTTTCTGAGCGTGTAGTAGCTAGAATAATAAAACTAATTGATATAACGAAGTGGAGAGCATGGCTGTTGAGCCGCGGCGAATTCCGCGGTACCCCGGGCGGCCCGAAATACCTCTGGGACGGTTCTCCTCTCCTTCTTTTTCCGCCGCCGTGTCCCCTCTTCGACTCGTCTCGCCAGAAAACGACCGAGAGGAAAGGAAGGCCCGAAAAATCATAGGAAATAGGAAGCAATCCGAAATTTCTTTCCTTAAGCCGATGCGAAAGTGCCGACTCGGCGGGTCTCGTTTATGAAACTTCTCCGAACTGGGTGTAACCGAGTCGTTTGAAAATTTCCAACGGGAATATGGAGGCTATAAGAAATGAAATTCTAATTGTTTACGAATTTGTTTTTGGGTATTTTTTAATATTTTGTATTACGAGTGAAATTTTAAGGGTGTCAAGACCTTTATCGCTTCCATACTCACGTTGTGCATACTGCAGAAACGTTACAGGGTGCCCTAAATTTTTACCTGGCAGGTAATTTCAGGCTCTCACCTCCGTTTTTTCTTTTTTTCCCCTCGAGGATTTCTTTCGCGTTTCTTCTCCCCTTAAACCGTCGTCCGGAACTGGCGAGACGAGATTCTGTATCGAACTGTGATATCTTGCGTTACGAGGCGCATTAATCGTGTATATTGTACATTATGAACCGTGTTCGCGCCTGCGCGGCAGCTCGTTCAGCCTTTCCCGCGCCGCCCGGAAGTGCCGCGGCAACCAAAAGTATTTCGGATTATCGATCGTATTCCGTCCACGATCCGAAGCTTCGCCCTTAAGGGGGTGCGAAAGTGGCATCCGAAGAGTCAATCGATCATGAAACTTTACCCCTAAGTACACCGAATCGTTTCAAACTTGACAACCTGAACACGGGGGCTATAAGGAAGGTCTTGACCCTAATGGAATTAAATTTCTTTACACAAAATTGTTTAAACGTCTACGAAGAAATTTGTAAAAAGTGGTAATTTCGAGTCTGAGGACCTTATGATTATATTGTAAAATTCGAATTTATTCGGTACACCCTGTTTGGAGATAAGTCTCGTTAAGGGGAACTCTTCGACGTCACTTTCGCATCGCCTTAACGAAATCCTTGGGAGGTCGTAGATAAGAGGAACGCGACTCGAAAGACCCTTAAAATTGCGATATGGTGTTGGAGGCCCTTAAGGGGGTCCACGAGCAGGTTCGCCGTGGCCGGTAGGATCGTAGTCTCAGGGTTTCAACAAACAAACAAACAAACGATACAATACAAAAACCTACAAACCTATAAGCAAATGAATATATATATATATATATATAAAAAAATGAATAATTATATTGATAGATAAGCATATACGAGAGCGCGCAGAGGGAGGCGTTTTAATATTATAGCTCGTACGTTACGTAAGTGATGCTTGCATGTTACAAGACGATGGTGGAACATTAACCACGCTTCGTGCTCGGTAAATACCACACACTTGCAGTAATGCGTCGATCAAGTGCAAGGACGCGCAATGGCGTCGCAGCGTATTTCGCGGGAGAGGCGTTCTTCCTCGGATAGACAATGCGACGAAAGATTTGCATGAAACATTGCCTCGTAAAAGATCACGAAACGAGTCACGAGGGTGTTGCTTACGAGTCCTCGTTTGGGACTCGTGTCTTGGAACATCGGAGGCGCGGCGGACTTTGTTTCGATTTTGGTCTCGAGAGAACGCCGCTCGGGCTCAGCTGCATGTACATACAATATACATATATATAATATACATACGTATGTATAAGTTGACGATGAGGATTGCGAGATTGTCGAACGATGTCCTTCATTTGCCTCGATGCGACTTTCAGCGCGGAAAGAAGATGGCCGACCGAGGGAGGCGCTCGCGGGGCGAACCGCGAATCGCAAGTTTTTTGTTCGGGGCATTAGCAAGTTACGGTTCGTTTAGTTTACGGAGTAGTATGAGGAGATACGATGTACAGAAATCGGCAACACTTTTGGGGCCCAAGATCGCAAAATTACCAGCATTTTAGGTCATTTACATCGGTAGGAATTTCCTTCCTTTCAGTTCCCTTATTTCCCGCGCGTGGCGCTCGCAACGTTAGATCGGTGGTCTTGAGTCTCGATTTTGGGATCACTTTTTGGAACCGACTATTGGCGTTGTGTCTCCTTATACTATTTCATGGTTTAGTTTATGTCAAGGTACTTTCGGGGAAGGGAATCGAGGTCTTGAGAATTTGGAGCCTCGCCCGTCGACGGGCGCGGAGACCTCGGCCCCGTTCCCCCCTAGTCGTCGCTGGGTCTGGGGAAATGGCCAAAATGTATTTTTTCCTGAGTGCGGGCCACTCTCGAATCGACGTCCCGAGGTTTCCCGGTGGCAGGAGGTAATCGATACCGAACTCCCCGGCCTCGGAAATGCGATCCTTCCTCGGGACCAGGGACGACTTCCGCTTCCGGCCCCGCGGGCTCGCGACTCGCTCGCTCGGCGCGACGGAAAGCTCGTTTCTGTCGCCATTATAAATATGTACGTAGCTACTTTGTAATTAATGTAGTAGACCTATGTATAATTTTTATATATATACACCCCCTCACACCCCGGTAGGGAGAGACATCACCGATCGCGACGTTAAGGGGATGCGAAAGTGGCTTCCGAGGGCTCGATCGTTCGTGGAACCTTTTCCCGAATTGAGGCTACCTAATCGTTTCTAACTTTACAACGTGAACAGGGAAGCCGTAAGGGAGGTCCTGACGCCCATGGAATTTCATTTTTAATACCACATTTTTAAAATACCTGTAAAGAAATTTTGAAACGGCTCAAATTTCCTGGGTGTCAGGACCTTCCCTAGAGCCTCCTTATTCACATTGTCAATTTTGATACGATTCGATGCACCCGGTTCAGAAAAAAGTTTCATCTAAGAGATTTCTGGGATTGCCAGTTTCACGTCGCCTTAACGATCGGCGCGAGCAGCGCCTCCACCCGGCTGGGATTTAAGCGCACTCGCCCAACGCGAAATTTGTCAGGACACTCGAGAGAATAAAAGGACGTTGCATCGAAAGTGTGTTGCGAACCTTTGGTTGCCTTGCTCGCTTTCTTCTTTTATCATGTGATAGGTGACAACGAAATTCTTTGGCCGGACTTTTTAGGGCAAATTTTGTCCATGTCACTATTCGACGCGTATGAAGAAATGTCCTCGATTTCCTTGGTCAACATTTTTTTTTGCTATCTTATGCTCTTGCGTTTCTTCCCGTACGTTTTAATTCGGAACCGGAAAATGGGAAGACGCGTTATTTAATCCACGCAAACGCGTTATGACGACCGCTTATCACCGGAGATGACACTTGATACCTGGCTCGCCATTGTGCGCGACACCTCACAGCTGAGCGAGCAAATTTTTCTCAACTAGATCTCAATTCGTACAATTTATGCATTAAGTAAGACCAAGTGACGATTGACAAGCTAATAATATAATTTTTTGGAATATCTATAATGCCCTTGGCGTTGGGAAGAAATTATTTGGAAATTTCTCGGAGAAAAGATCAAAATTTGGGGACGGGTGTTCTCTGTCTCATGCTCTAAAGGTTAACCGTTGACAAAAAAGAATCTGAATGTGGTTTCACGTCAGCCGGTTAAATCTTATATCTTTTTGTTACTTTGTAGAATTTTCTTTTTGGGGCCTTAGGGATTTTCGGTTCGCGAGGATTTCTTCTAATGTCTGGATTTTCAGCGGGGACTTTGAAAGGCGAAATTCGGCAGATTTTGGGCGAATTGACCGAGGGGCAAATGGCTCGCTCGAGGTTCGGCAAACAGTGGGAGAATTTTGCAAACACTGCTGGCCATCCACTCGAGCACGCCGGCGAAAGAATCCGATCTCGCCAGTCGCCTCGGCAGCCATGTTCCGTAAAGTCCTTCTCTACGTTTCCCTAAATTTCGCCGCGGCCATTGTGTCCGCCAGAAAGGGTGAGGGGACGATTTTTCCTTTTCGCTCGTGCGATTAATCACGCCCCGGGGCGAGATGAAAAATTTCGCGCATAAGACTCGTGAAACGTATTCTTAAATTGGATCTTCCGATTAGAATTTTCCCCTGTCAAATGTCTCTCGGAGGGCTCGGGTAGGATTAACGAGGGGAGGTGTCAAAAAGAGAGATCGCCCGAGACAGGGAAATGCGAAATGAAACTGAGACCTTTCAAGGCTTTACTGCCTGCACTTTTCTCCCGGCGGGAAAAATCGAGTGACCCTCTCTAAGAGTTATATCAAGGATTTTAGAAGAGAAACGCCGCTAGGAAGTTAAGCCGAATAATTCCCGATTTCGAGAAAAGTATAACCTACGTCGCGAGGTTCTTATTCCTGTATAAGTAGAAATGGAATTTCTCGGTCGGGCGAAGATTCGCTCGTGGTCGCGTCTGGCTATTTGCGGTTTTTTCCCCTCCGGGAATTATTGTCCAGCTCGTTTATTTAATCTTTTATTTCTAACGATTTTCACCTGGAATTACGGTTAATAAATGTTACTCCGGTTAATACGGAGGTAAGTGTAGGAAATGTTTAATGTGCAATTGCAGTCCAGGACTTGAAAGACGGGCCGACACTGCCGGCTTGTCTTCCCGTTGACCTGGTGGACCTCGAAGAGTATATTTCGACGTTGAACTTGACGAACGAGCCGACTTTGGAGACACTTGGGAGAGATCCACACGACAGGAGAAATGTCTCGATTTTTGGCGACCGCCAGACGGACTGGTCTCGACTTTTTTCACTCTACGAGGCCCAACCGGAGGATTCGATTCTTCGGGAGCAGCTTCGTCGCCTCTTCCGAGTTTTACTCGTCGGCTATGAACAGGCGAAGGGACTCACTCCCGTGATCGACCAACAGAAAGATCAGAAAATGAGGTGAGTGGCTTCAAGGCGATGTGAAACACCTAGAGAAGTTTCATATGTCGATGAGAAAAATTCTAAATACCTACGCTACCGACGCTCATATTTATATTAACAGCTGTAACGACGTCTTTCGTTTTTTAAAGCTCGATCGCTAGTCAGGAAGAAATTTCACCGGGGACGATGAACAGTATTTCGGAGACCAGGGGACCGACCTTATCGACCACGGGTTGGAGTACTGGGGAAATGAAGACGGTAAGTCCTGGTGATAACAACCAACCGAGTAAATGCATGGAAATGTAAGTTGCGGTTTTTCTCGACAGACTGTTGGGTATGAAACTCCAAATGAGGCGAAGACGTCTTCTACGAGGTTGAAGAATGACGCGACGTCATTTCCCGAGGATGGTACTGCAAGTTTCACGGATGATTACAAGATATCGCAATCTAGTTCGAATGAAATTTTAGGCACAAATAATGTTTCGGTGAACTCTGAAACGTCAAACGACGGAGCTAAATTATTTCATACTAAAACAAAGTCTGATCAGCTGATTATACCAGAAGTGAAGAAAATTAGTCATGATTCGTCTGAATCGATGGAGGCAGAAAAAGTCTCCTATTATTTATCAACGGAAAAAGTCACGATTGGAACGTCAAATAAGGAACACGATGATAAATACATATTAGAGAACTTCGATCCATCGCGAAGAAATCAATGGGAGGGAATTAACGACAAACCAACGTCTATCCAATTTGCATACACTCCACCAATCTCTTCTGGCAGTACAATGTTGACAGATAATATATTTATTGACGATGAAGAATCTGTAAATGGAAATCGCGTAACAGAGTGTGAATTTACCGAGGAAGATTTATCCGAGTACCCGCAAGAGACCGAAAAGTTAATCACATCAACAATGGCGGCGGTTGAATCAACCCGGAATAAAGAAGCTGCAGTTTCCAGATTAAACGATCTCAAGAAAATCCGGTTGACATTGTTTCCCAGATCTGACATCAACAGGGAAGGCATATTTGATACATCGGATGAAGAGGTTCCTATAAAGGATTTACTTGACAGCAACAAAGTCGATTTTTCTAACCCCAAGTCACCAACAGGCGTCACGGAGCGATCGAAGGGGATATTATTAAAAAATTCGGATGTCAAGAATTATGGAGAAAATTCATATTATTCAGGGTCATCGGGAAGGGAAAAGACACCCGATGGGCCACCTTCGGAGACTAGTACAGTTCTTGGGAGCAGTTTTGGCCAAGTTCTCTTCCAAGCCAACGTCCCGAAATTGTCCAAAATGGCGGAGGCGTCCTCGGAGGGCGAAAAGGATGCGGAGGTCGAAGAAACGTCAAAAACGGTCGGTCGGACACCTCGGACCACCTTTTCCCCGAGGAAAGTGGACGAAAGGGGGAAAATGCTAACCGACCCAGGGTCTGACGAACTTTTACCGCCTGTCGATGGTAACGGCAGTTTCTCGGCCAATTTCTCGGGAATTTCAAGCGGAGTTCCCGAAGTGACCTCCACCGAGAAGAACTCCCGGGCCCGGTTTTCCGTTTCGAAGTTTGAGATAAGTTCCACGAGGGATCGGAATTTCGAGAGCTTCACCTCGGAGCCGACTTTGACGAGTAAAACAAACGATCCCGGAAAGACGAATCCAACTGGGATTTACGGAGATCCCGAGGGAAGTTCCGGGATGACCTTCAACCCTTCGGGTCAGCCAGGTCGGGCAATTCCGAATCGTCTCGGAGTCACGCTTAATCTTCGCCTTCCTGACGGCTCCTTTGACAATGCGGAGATGAAGGAGTCGGGATTGCCGGGGAGACAATCTAATACCGAAGAGGCGTCCCCCCCAAATATCTGGGAGAATAGCCAACCTGATCGCTCTGAAATGCAGATCGATGCAGCGCCGAGCACGTCTGCATCCACGAGGCACCCCGACCTGGGGGATGATCTCGAAGTGGATTCCCCTGGTCCCCTTGAAACGAGCACGACTTTAATAAATACTGATTCGGGTCAGGATAAAATCAACACCGACGTAACAAACGTGGGCTTTGAGGAGTTGACAAATTCTGGGAATGAAAAATTAGGGAAAAACGCTTCTTTACAAAATGTCGACCTGGAATTAACAAGTAGGAAGGAAAACGCGTCGTTAAGTGCTCAGGATGAGGAAGGTAGGACAGGATCTTTGGCACCCGATAAGTCGACAGTGGTTTCTATCGATCACGAGGAGTCTGAAAATTTAGAAGATGATAATACAGGTGGGATACATGAATTTGTAGGGAAGAAGAAAGCGGATGTCGTTTCCAGTCTAGGTCGTACCGTCGCAACCGTGTCTACTGACTTGAGACTAAGTACCTTGAAAGGTACCAACGTTCCGGACGATTTGAGGGAACCACCTGCAAAGACGGTAATCAAAGTAAACTATCCGACGATTTCCAGTATCTGGCCAGTTTCATTCAAGCTAAAAGAAACGGTGCCAATGGTGGATGGTCCTCCAGAAAGTGAGGTTTCCGGAGATTCTCGAAGCAACAGTATTCCCGGGAAATATAGGAACGACGTGGATAATTATATTCATTCGAAGGACCCATCTTATATTTCCGACGATAGAAATAAAATGAGTCCACCGATAGTATTTAAAAAATCCCCAAGTAGACCAAAGACATGGGATAGATTTACGCCGGCCAAGAGCAATCGACATGAACAACGATATCGCCTTTTGCAAGAGGGTGCTTTGGTGCCAAAAGAAACTTTAGGTACCAGGAAAAATATGGTACGACCTGGAAAACGAGATAGTCCGGGAAAGAACATGGAACAAAGGTACAGGTGGTTTTACAACCAAGGACAACCTCAAGTCGTCGCGAACGAGATTGGAATAAAGTGTAAAAATGCAACGTGATCTACCATTCCCTCATCTGGTAGAGTTATTGTAAATTTCTTCGATTCTTCATATCGCTACCGGAAGTTAATAAATTCGTAACTGGTCCTCATTCGGCTCATTATTTACGAGGGGAGCACCTGGTAACGTCACCGTGGCTTTACGAGGCCCCGTAAACGGATTTCCGGATTATCCCGTAAACGGTATGGGCGCGATCCGACGCGTTGGTCGCGCGTAAGTATCTCCTTCCTTGTCGCTCTCGCGCGGCGGCGCCTCGCTCCCTCTCGCTCCCACTCGTTGGTTCGGACCTCGCGCCAAGTCGGTCGACTCCGGGCAGAGGCCACTCTTCCATTAGTCCGTTTCCGCGGTTTTTCCGCAATCGCGGATTCGCGGTAATAAAGGCAATCCTCATGCGGCGCATTTTCATGCGTGCCCCGGCATTCCGGTATGCGTCGCAGTTGAAAGGAGCGAATATATATATATATATATTTTACGATATCGCTAAAGTTTATGGTACCATTTGCGGTCGGACTTTTATCGTTGCGCGGTTAGAAGCGGTTGCCGCCGAAAGAGGTTAGGGAAGACCGACCTCCTGCGGGGAGACCACGTGGCCGCCGCTATGACAATTACCGGTTCGCAATTATTATAAGTAAAACTCCAGAAATTCGTGTTTTCTGAGTCGTACAATAATTTCGTGCTAATGGGTATACATTTGGTGTAAGAATAAGGAAACTCAAATTAAAGACACGATGCCGCGTGAATTTTCCTCCACTCTTCCCGATGATGCATTCGCCCTCAGGAAACGTTCTGGATGGTCGGTAGGCATCCTTCAATCGAAATCAGGATAAATGAAAGAACGCTATCCAGGTTTGAATCGGTGCACAAAATGGCTTTCAATAAATATCCGTTCTTCGGAGGAAATCCGCTCTAGGGAGGAATCGAGAGCGGCCCGGTCAATGGGCAGGGAGGATCGGCTCGGGTGCAGAGAAGAGACGTCGGGTCAATAAGGCTAAGAGGTACTTAGTGTCTTATTACTGAAAACTGTATACGCGATTTGGCACACGCGATGCGAGGGAGGAGGAAGCACGAGGTCCTCGTCGTTGCGGGAAGCGGACCGAGGCGAGTAATTGGCCTCGTCGAATTCAATCGATGTCTAGCCCAAGTTCGATCGGCGATTGCGCCCTGGAATCCGCTTTGGGACTTCGGATATTAATTCCAATCTGCATAAATGCATAATAATAAAGCCAAAGTCTGGCTAAGGGTGACCCATCGAGCGTCCTCCCTTCCTTTCCACCCCGCCGCCGGTATATTTATTTCTTCAAGGCATATTCTAGGTCCTCTCCCGAAATTCCCGAATCCGGATCAGACGAAGGTGGCCTTGCGAGATCCAGCAATTGTTCCCGAGGTTCAATTAGACACCGACAGCCGGGAACTCCCTTCGTCTCGGACCCGTCCCGTCCGCGATCTCTTCCGGATGTCGACCGCCGTCGTTAGATATCCCTAATAATAGATATTAATTAGAGGGAGTTTCTGCCGGGCAATTTCAATCCCCGTAGACGATTGCTCGTGCCAGGCTGCTCTTCGCGGAGGGTTTGCCAGTTAAACTCGAGTAAAACGTAGGAGAAATATTTAATAAGGCACCACGCGGCTTCGAAGAGATACCTTTTCGATCGGATGACTTACTTCGGGCGAGGGGTTCCTACAGGACACCGATGTTCCCCTTGGATAATAGTTTATCGCCCCGCGTAAATTTCTTCGGCTACATTAAAGGTTTCCATACGGTGGCACGGATCGTCGCGCTGCAAATCAGATCGTTATCACGCATTTTATGAGTCGTCCCCATCGTTATCGTATACCGTTGATGGGCCAGATTTTAGGTCACATCAGGGCTCACCCTGTACCGCGATGGCGATATCCTGCGATCCGTCCTGATCTGCGTTAACCATAAAAGTCATATTTGGGGAGACGTTCAAGGCGACGTAAAAATCGCCAAACGGCCCCGACATCTCTATGATCACGATGAAATGTAAAATTCTAATCTCAATTATAATTAAAAATAAATGAAATGTAAAAGATATTAAAATTTTAAGAAAAATGGATCGCGGAATTTGGTCCTTACAGATCGGTAAAAATCACCTTCCACGCCACCTCGGCGCGTAGAAGTGAGTCTTAACCACCCGATACGTCTCAATTACGTTAAATAAACAACGTCAATTTGAATATCTTCAGAAGGGAAGGGAAATGTAGGCAGTCGTGTTTACGCCGGAGAGGAAGACTCGGTGTAACCATTCCCGGGAGTGGAAGTTAAGAAGTCTTTGCCGAGGATCGGGACAATTATTTTTCCGAGTACCGTAAGACCGGCGCCCGTTGACCCGGCAATGCTAATTCTTACTAATTGGTCGCATTACTCTCGTTTCATTGACCTGCCGCAGTTTCGCCGGAGAGACGCGAATCTCGCCCTTTTGTCTCCGGCCGACACCTCTTCCCCTCGAGGACTTTGTTCTTTGCTCCCCTTAATTAATTACAATTTCTTTCGACTAAATTTACGTCCCTTCGGGCTGCGGATTCTCCTCCGAGGTTTCCCCTTCGCCCTCGAACGTCAATCCGAGTTTATGCCCCGATCCATGGCGTACGGACAAATGAACGATATCAACGCCTGCGATCGAGATCGCCTTCCTTCGCTACTTCGATCTGGGTTTAATGGAATCTTTTACGCGTCGCTTCCCGTGGACCCAATCATGGTTTTCCTCCCTCACGGAACTATATATACACCTTATTACAGTACCTTCGACGTTAATATCGCCATTTCCGCAAGTCCGCAGGAAGCTACAGGACGAAAATCGGGCCGGAAATCTCTATCCCCGGTTCCACTAACCTCGGTCAAAGAGCTAATCCTCGGTTACAATAAATTCCCCCTTCCGCCACATTTCAACGGCAGGTTAACTTCCTCTAACCGCCGTTTAGAGTAACCAGCCAAATTCGATCGTTTAGCTTCAATTAATCTAACTTCAACCTAAAAAGTACACAAATGTAAGGAAACAATGGATTATATTGAGGATGTATTAACAACTGACAGCTGATCACGCGATTCGTTATGTGATATTCCCGAGTTACTAATCAGGGGTACTTTGAGAATTTTGAGAACGGTCCATTCAATTACATTTGGTGCAGCCTTTGTCGCGTTGTTTGACCGTAATTGCGATTTTTTCCCCCCTTTAAGGGGATGAAGCTTTCCGAGGTTTCTCGCCTGGGCTTTCAGCCGAGTGTCGGGGTGAAAAGCCCTAGGCTCTCCCTCTTTAAATCCCCAGGACCCAAACAGCGGAGGTGCAGACGGTATACGTTATACGCGGCACCACTTTTCGGCTTCGGTACCAGGATTTGATTGTTCCGAGGCTCGTTCCCGGGACAAAGGGAAGTGGGGCTCATAATGCCCCTCTACCAGCTGGCCATTTTTTATTTCCCCATGATTCAGGCTGACCACCCAGGTTCTCTTCTGTGCTTTCTTTCCCCGGATATCTCCTTGCTCCTTCGTGGAGTCCCCTTTTTGGAGGTGCCTCGACATAAGCACTGGGTCAACTGATCATTTTTTTACCGACCTCACGATTCCTCGCTGGTGGAGTGAAGAATTCGAAATTCGGGGCCCAGGGTGGAGGGGTGATAACGAGTGGTTTGTTTATTTATAAATTCTAGCCTCATTTACGAGCCGAGCTCGTCTCGGGTTTAATTGAACCGATGGAGGAACTCGGTCGAGTGAGAGACGATCTTCGCGGGGGGGCTCGATAAACTCGGGGAAGTCGGAGGGTTGAATATTCCGAGGTAGGATTTTCCGCGGTGGGAAATAAAGCCCGTCGATGATGTCGGCCGAAGTGGAAATTGCAACGGCGGAGAGTGAACGAAGTGATCCCCCGCAGAATAGATGGATCATAAACACCCCGTGGAGAGATGGGCGAGAGAAAGCGCCGTAGAGATGCCGCGAGAGAGGTAATCATCTTTATACCTCATTTCTCAAAAACCGCTCCTGTCGCTTTGAGTTAAACGAGGGAGCCTCCACCCTGGCCCCCCTTTCCATCTCGCCCGCCCTTTGTGCCGCGATACAAAGAATTAGAAGAGCGAGCATCGATAAATTCGCACCTGTCGACGGGCGTATCCGTGCCTTTTCTCTCAAATCGACATACCGATCCGCTCGGTAGAAATTTCTTAGACGTTGCGCCGTACCTTTAACGAGAATGGACCCGGCGAGTACTCTTTGTAAATAGTCAATGAGATGGCACTTCCACCCCCGCCCCGAGCGCTCGCCAAGTCTCTTTGTCCCGTTCCAGGGGAGGCAGCGATACGAAGGAAATGATTTCCACCCAGGGGGATCCGATCGTTGCAATTTTCCAGGGTCCCCTGTCCTCGCAAAGGGCTCCCCCAGGTGGGTCGAGGGTGCGAAAGAAAAATCCCCCCGGATCGAGGCTCCCGAGCTCAAAGGGGGTGCGCCCCCGAAAACTGCACCCAGTCCTCGGACCCGGGGAGATCACTAAAAAGTCATGCCATATTTCATAATGCATAAGCGGGTGAAATATACCCTAGGTGGATTTTATGCCGCGCGTCGCGGGAAGCCCGGGCCTCCGGTAAAAAAGCTCAACCCTTTCCGGCATCACTTTCTTCCGCGTACCTCCGCCTCTGTTTTCTGGCCTCTGTCCTTCCTTCCCTCCCCCTCTCTCGCTCTTTACCCCCCTCGCGCCTCCTCTCCTTTGTTTAACCTTATGAAACGGGGATTTTATCGTTCCTATCCTGCAAAGCTTTCCCTCCCTGCGGTTATAAATTACGTTCGCTCGTTTTTCCCCAGGACGTCTCCTCTCTCTCTCTCTCCGGCGCATTTAGCGCCTCCGGGACGATCTTTTTCCCTCATTAATAAGGAACGTTTTATCGCCGCCTCTCGCCGTGTGTGATCCGCAAATTATGAGCCTGTAAATCGGTCTAGGAATTTTCTCCCCGGCGGCCTCCCCCTCCGGTGCCTCAAAACTAATGAATTCCTCGTTATACCAATGCGTTATTACGTCGCAGTACGTAAAAGCTCTCCACCCCCCCTTCCACCCCCTTTATTACCGGCACGATAATATTAATTCATCCGGGTGGAATTCTATCGCTGCCTCCGGTTTGCGATTCGCGGCTCTCGAGCTGCGAAAAACCCGCTAATATTTTCCTTCACCCGGTCTGAGTTGATTTGCCCGTAGTTCATGTACTGTATCCCCTCGGTTAGCACCCTCTTCACTTATGAAACGCGATGTACAATAAAACCGATCGGGCGAAGCTAGAGGAGGGATTGAAAGAGATTCCATTAGCACGTCACTTTATTTAAACGAGTTACGTTACGAGGTCTCGGCCGCATTCACGGCGGGCGGTGGTCCTCGCG